ATCTGACTACTTTCACTGAGTACATTTACATGGTCACCAATACTCCCCTTTTATGATTAAGATAGGCCTGATACTGATTAAGAGTCTACCATGTAGCAGCGATTTTGATTATCAGAAGGATCACGCGAGTCCCGAAATGTGAAGGTTTTTCACCATGCCTTGTCAAATTCCATTAAAACATCCTGATTGAAAATATGCTGAATGAGAGTGAACTGCTAAACGGCAGTTAAAGTATAAAGATTAAAAATGAAACACCCGAAATTGCATAAAACTCTGGAGTAAATGCAGAATAGCCTGGTGATGCGTCATAAATAGTTTTATCCTGAAACTGTCCTTCTAAAAGCGCGCCCTTGGTCTTATACAAATTTTCTTGCACGTTAAACACATGCAGGGCCAGAGCAACTAAACTGGAGCTCTAAGCAAATCACGCCACCCTTAACCTGAAAGTTTGGGTTTTTTTGCGTTATTTTTTTCTATAAATATGTAAATATTTAAAATTAATCATTTAATTTTGACAGCCCTTATATATATATATACATATATATATTATGGGTGGAGCCGAACCCGAATACGGTATTCGGAAAGGCACGAATAGCGTGCTTTTTACGAATACTTATTTCGAACAAATAATTGAAAAATTATTTGTATTCAGGAACAAGAAAAACATTGTATCAAAAGCAGCATTTCCTCATGAGATCACAGTGCATGCCCGTGTGAGTGAGTGAGTGAGTGAGTGAGTGAGTGAGTGAGACGCTCAGGAGGAGTTGCGGAGGGCGGGGTGGAGGTAAAGGGTGACTGAAAAAAAATACTTTCCTGCATTACTATTTTTGTCAAATAGATTTTTGTACCTTATCTGGGTTCCAGAGGCAGTTTATAAACTTGTAGCGTAATTGAAGCGGAGTTTGATCAGGATATTCGATTACGCTGCATTATTGACGTCTGTAATCGGGTGCTCTCTGTTAATGTTAGCTCTGTTAGCGCAGTAATTTAGACAGTAGACTGTTGGCAGAGTAATGTTAACGTTCGTTTATAAAGGTTAAAACAATGCTTTTTTGTGCAGTTGTGTCGAATGGTATTAACTTATGGGAGTTATATGGTACGTCTAAATTGGTCTTTGTCAGACAGCAAGATATGCTGGCTAGTTAACCTTAGCATAGCTTCCTGTCACCTATTAACTTGAAACTCCTCAAATACATTTGGCCACCCAAATAGAAAAGGGTGAGACTGCTGCTGAGCCATTTCTTGGTCCTCCACCAGCCTAAAAAAAAAATGGTTCTGTGTGGAAGCATTTTACAGTCAGTGGTGCTGCAGATAAAACAAAGTGATACTGTATAATGTGTGCAAAAGTGAAATCAGCAGAGGCAGAGACATCAAACATCTGTCAACATCTTCTATGCATGATCATTCATTCATTTTCTTTTTGGCTTAGTCCCCTTATTAATCTGGGGTTGCCACAGTGGAATGAACCACCAATTTATCCAGCATATGTTTTACGCAGTGGATGCCCTTCCAGCTGCTACCCAGCACTGGGAAACATCCATACACTCTCTTTCACACACATACAATAGGGACAATTTTGCTTACCCAATTCACCTATATTGCAAGTGTTTGGACTGTTTGGGAAACTGGAGCACCCGGAGGAAACCCATGGCAACATGGGGAGAATATGCAAACTCCACACAGAAATGCCAACTGACCCAGTCGAGGCTCGAACCAGCAACCTACTTGCTGTGAGGCGACAACGCTACTCACTGTGCCACCGCGCTATGTAATGTATTATCACATGCACTTAAAGCATCCTCTCCTGGGGCCTCATGTATCAACGCTGCGTACGCACAAAAACTTTGCATACGCCAGGTTTCACGCTCAGAATCGCTCACGTTTGGATTTACTAACGATGAAATGAACGTGGGAATGTGCGCAGCGCCACACCAACTTCATGGCTGGCGTACGCACATTTTTTTGTGCGTGTCTGTTTTATTTCCATTGGCGACTCCTATAGGCAGTAGTGTTAAATTGCACTCTACAAAATATCTTCTCAGCTGTATGAGAAGGGTTCATCTGCATGTCTAGTATATAAGGTTTCCGAACCATACAGTTGACCATCCAAACAATAAAGCGCAATCTGCTGCGGTCGCCACTTTTCCCAATGTAATCGGAGCTATCTACTGCACGCACATTGCTATAAAGGCGCAATCTGAGGATGAATTTGCATACATGAATCAGAAACGTTTCCATGCAATAAATGTGCAAATAAAATATGATGCACAGACTTATTAATGATTCCTACTTGTCTTCCTCATGATGATGAAGAGTATAGGCAAAATCTGATATGTAGCGGGGGAAAGTTCATCAGACGCTGGATTCGAACCGAGTTCATGCTTGAACGAGTGAAAACATATTGCCATGCATTTAACGAACTGCGCCACTCAGGCTGTTAAAGGTACTAAAAAATTTGACACCTTTACATCGCACTATTTCTTTTTTAAATCCACACGATGTTCAGACCCAACTGTGTTGACTGCATAAGCTAAACTCTCCCACTCTATTTTTTTCTTTTGCTATTAATTCCGGAGGACAAACTTGCAAATAAAACCGTTTTTCTTTGGTCTACCTCCGAAAGCAGCACCTGCAGTTCACATTCTGTTTAAATTTTCTCTTTTGGCTTGCTTTAGCAATTGCTTTTTTGTTGGGTTTTGCCGAAGTAGAGTCATTAGCATATTCATACGGGGGAGGAGGCAGGGAGGGGTTTTGTGCTCATGCATGTTGCACTCAGTTTCTCGTTCATTCAGATGTACAAAGAATATGCGTCGGATTCAGCGTACGCAGTGTTTCATACATCTGAATTTTTTTCTGCATACACACATTTACAGCTTTGTGTGTACGCAATGTTTTAGTATGATTTCCACGCAATTCTTTGTACATGAGGCCCCTGATACTGTCTGCCAACCCCCCCAAGCATCAATCCCCTCACAAGCACCAAACCATCAACCCAGCCACATTCTGCCCCTGCAAGTCAGTTTCAAACATTAAAAAAATAAATAAATAAATAAAAAAATAAAAAAAAACTTTTTGTCTGTTTTGCAGGCCGTTGACAATAGCAGGGTTGTATCTTTTAGTATTATATAGAATACTTCTGTTCTGCCAGATCCCCCAGTCAGGGGTTTATTTAGTTATATTTTATTAATTTTAGTTTTTGGAATTCTGTGCATTAGAAAGAAGTTCTTTCAGAAGAAGAACAGTTCTTTGAAGTATTATTTGGCTTTATTCTGTCTATTCAGTGTCCTTCAACAAAAACGGTGGTGGTAGAGTTTATAATGTTCACAATGGTACTTTATTAGTTGTTGGTTTAACCATGGATGAGGTAATGGCTGTTATTTTCTTTTCTTTTCAATGACGTTTCTTGTTACATGTTCAAAAACATCAACCAATATTGCATATCCATAATTATTACAACGGGTATAATTAAACAATACTTACACTATAACGTAAATTAGAAGTGTAATAGAAAATATTTATATATTTCCATTTTGAATTTTACTCGAATACAAATACAAATACTTTTCCCCCCTCAACAAATACAAATACACATACAATTACCGGCTATACACACACACACACACACACACACACACACACACACACACACACATATATATATATATATATATATATATATATATATATATATATATATATATATATATATATATATATATATATATACACGCTCCCTGATATACAGCCATATCCCGCTGCCACTCGAGTGATATTGCCCATATAATTATACACCAGGGGTCACCAACATGGTGCCCGTGGCCAGGTAGCCCGCTAGGTTCACATTAGTTGCCCGCGGGCCTGTTCTAAAATTAACACATATGAGTAAGCTTCATCTAATATTTTTATAGGTATTCTATTTAAATCACACTTGCTTTGGTGTAAATTTGAAAATTACTTTAAGTTATATATTAAAAAAAACTTTAAAAACAATTTCAGACAAAGTAAGTGTTGATATTTATCTAATTTGTTAAATCATTATTGACAACTACTGTGAGTAATTAATTACATGATTAATGTCTTCACATAGATGAATATTATTACTTATTAACAATAACATATAATTAACAGTAAATTAAGAAAAATGTGTTATTTAATAACACACTAATCGGTACCCAAGAAGTAGCTTTCAGTTTCCAAAAGGTTGGTGACCCCTGATATACACATTCAAAAAAAAAAAAAAAAAAAAACAATTCACGTACACAAAATAAAAATACATATTTATAAAATATATTTCACAAATACAAAACACGATTTGCAAATGTGTAACAGTGTACAAACGTTTTGAATGTTTCAAATTTGCTAGTTCATCCTAAATGAGTATGTGCAAATCCTCTTTCATGTATTTATTTATTTATTTTAAAAAATTTATTCATTTATGCATTTTGAAAGGAAAAATGGAACTAAAAGTAAGTAAACAATTGAAAAAATGAGCAAAAATCTATTGATAAATGTTCATTATTTAAGGGCACTTTTTTCCATGAGAATAAAGGGAAATAGAAAATAGAGACTAAACATGCCTGAACCTGTTTATGCTCATTAAATATGGTGGAAATTAAGTTTTTATTCAGTGAAAGTCAAAATTTATTAGTTCTGGCTTGAAATCTGGGCATCTCTTTCTCCGTTCGACATGTTTGAGAGGATCAGACTATGGAAAAGCTATGCAGAGTGGGTTACATCGAATATATAAAGATTTTGAGCACGTTAATTGTTTTTGTAAATATCTAAATATTTTGCGCACGTGAATTTGATTTTATGCATGTAAATGTGGCTACGCATGAGTACATCGTGTCTTTTCCGTGAATTACTTTCGAGTCTTTTCTAACCCCATTGTTCTGCTACACCACACTAGAAGGCGCTGAAAGCCATTTGAAGAAACGTTCACGATGCATTGAGACTTTTATTTTGTAAATTTAAAAACCGTTGCTATAGCAATACAGGAAATCTGTTTAGGTGATGTTTACAAGCCAGTCGCATTAAAACAGGAGTCATCCGCGCCTTTATTTTGATTAAAGCACTGCAGCTCGTGAACATGTGCTTATTGCTCGGTGCAACTGGAGTAGGAAAAACGCTTCTACTGAAGCGACTACAGAATATCCTTCAGCAGCTCTTTACATTAGACAGACTGCATGTTGTGTTCCTCTAAATCTGATTGTTTGTTTGTGTAATTTCACTTTTGTGGTTTTATATTTTACGATGTGCGTTTTTAAAAAACAAGTTAACTGCACCATTTAATGTTCATGAATATTTCTTTATCTGGACTAACAGCTGTGCCAGATGGATCCATGCGCAGATTTGGGCGAAGCGCCAGTCACTCTGCCGACGGTGAGAACTCATTGTATGACAAACAGTGTGTAAAAAGTCTTATGACAATTTGGTAATGTATTTATTGATACGTTTTATGCATGAGTACATATACTTAGTTTAATAGATAAGAAAAGGTTTTTACGTTAACGTCTTTTACCAACTAAAATATAGCGGATGACCAGTGGTGGACTGGGACAAATATTCTGCCCTGGCACTGTAGTCACATCAGCCCACATTACCACACCGACACAGCCCACCCATGAACAGGCATATTCACTACTATATTGGCATACAGATGGTGAAATAATATAAGCAGTGCCATATGAAATAGATATTTAAACATTAAATCTTTGTGACTGGAACAAAAACAATCAATTTATAACAAATTTATACATACAGTAAAAACTAAATAAAAAAACTATCTGTGAATCTTGTATAATTACTTCAAAGTATATTTTCTGTTTTCTTCTTACCTTCTCTACTGCACTACTGTCCTCCAATGCAGCAGCCCAATTTAAACCTTTCGAGAATATTTCAGTTCATTTTATTAATTTGGTAGCATCTGAGTTTTAGAGCCCTTTGTTTTCTCTGAGCTTTTTGGCACCGCCTTTTCATTTTTATGGTCCATCTTTGACAATTAGTTTGTGTTGCACATACTGTTTGTTTGACATTTTTGCCAGATTTTGATTACGTCCGCATAACCTCTGGGTCAGATTGGGTCAGCCCATCTCAAAACCAGCCAGCTGTCGCAGATTAAGCGAGATGCTTAACATTTATTATTATTATTTTTTTTATTATTATTATTATCATCATCATCTTTATAGTATTTGCATCTTGCAAGAGATAAATGCTGCCTGCATGTAAAAACAGTACATATTAAAAAAAAAGAAGAAGAAGAAAAAAATGACCGGCCCACATTTAAAAACTGGTCCGGCCCTTCTGGCATTTGCCAGAACTGCCAGATGGCCAATCCGTTGCTATGTATAGCCAAAGGTGTTTTCATTCGAGACAAAGCTAATTCTTATCATATATTGTTATTATGACTCCAAGATAGAGAAGTTTACTTTGCATTTTGTTAATTTACGGGGACCATAAAAATGTCAAAAATTAATATTTTTCTCTGAAAATATCTTTTTTTTTTAGGTCGGCACCAACCTCACTGACCTCATATTAAAGAAGAAGAAGAAGAAGATAACAGTGCGAGAATTGGGAGGCTGTATGGGACCCATTTGGCCAAAATACTACTTGGATTGCAAATCTGTTATTGTGAGTGTCAGTAATTTATAATTCAATTCATTAAGATATTACATCGGGGGCGAGAGATGCCTCAATTTCCAGAACATTATATCTCATTTGCAGACACTAAGAATATGTGGAATACTCCCAGAGCTTCCTGCAGAGAGACTTTAGATACTAGTGATTGGAGAAACTATTATTTTCAAAGCTTCAAATCAGTTGAACCCAATTGCATTGCAAAATACTTCACACTTTTAAATGCTTGAAACATCATAAGGCTCAACAATAAGGACTGCCTGATGTTCTGGGGCCAGCATGCGAGACGCTCGGGACAGTAGACAGAATCCTTACTGGCTCAATTGGGCCAGTGCTACCATGTCACTAAAGTTTAGTTTTCCTGCGACAATTGTGTGCAAACACAGTAGAATTGAGAATTGTGCTTTTAAGCCTTTAAATACTACCTTCTTTTTGAAGTCATAAACACCATGTTGCTCTTATCTGATTGGATGTTGTGAGCACATTGTTTATTTCTGTAACCTTGTAACAATCAGTACAGCGAAGAGATAATAACATCAAATTATGAGGCTAAAAGAAAACGTCTTTCTTTCTAAAGTCTTGGAAGCAAAAATATATGTGGGTACAAGATGACAAAAAAGTAATGCTTTGAATAGTTTGCCGGCAGTTTCCAGGAAAAGCTGACAAATTCGGAGCCTTTTTCGTAGGAACAAAGCAAAACTTCGAAGTGCATGATTAACCCGACACACATAGCGTGCATGGCGACTAAAAGAGTTGACGAGAACTCTTCATCTGCTCCATTGAACTTGATTGTGAGACGTATGAACGAACAAAGAGAATTATGAGCGCATCGAGAAACTCGTCAACACAGCATATCACATCATAAAGAATGAACAGCCCTTCCTGTAATTCGAACGATATATTAACATTAATTTGTTTAAAAAAAAGCCAGCTAAGTGAGCCACCTTTTGTTAAATAATTTAAACTGCAGTACAATACTGGCACAGTTTCCATACGGCTCTTTTTGTTTGCATAACACTGAATTTTGCAGATTATACATTTATTTACATTTTTAAATATTTAAAATCTAAATTGACAGATGTTATTTTTGAGGATCTTTGGGAAATTTAGTTTCATCACAATTGTAAAATTGTTTAAATTGCCAGTTGTATTTAAAGTCCCCAAGAAATCAAATCTAACCATATGATTTTGTCATTTATCTGTGCATGTCATTAAGAAAAAAGTGTTTTCCCTTACAACAATTAATTGACATCTGAAAATGCACTTCCTGTTTTTAAATTGTAGATTACGACTTGGGCAAATTAAAAATTTAACCATGCTACTCCAACTGTCAGTTTTAACAACAAACAGAAATGGTGAGAAGGAGGAGAAGTCTGTTAGATTGTAATAACTCTTCTAAACCCCCTTTCCTGAGCTTTTTTTTATGAAATGCCTACATTACTGCCTGCATTTAGCTCGCAGCAGAAAAAAACAAGCCATGCCAACAGTTTTCTTATTTAATGTTTTGTTTCTCTAAGAATTGCATCACAATATGAACAAAAAAAAAAAAAAACAGTTGCAGCTTCGGAAAGAAAAGTTATGCTGAATGAAATGTGTATGTATACAGTTATACGTGGCTTTTGACACATTATTTAAAGTTTGTGGCAAAGAAATGGCCATTAACATTTTTTTTTTGGTAAGGCCAGGGAAATTTTGGTAGTGCAGCGTTGATGGAAACGGTCATGTAAAGTTAAGTTTCGCAGACTAATTTCAAGAGAAGCACGTGATATGACCGACTATAGCTGATCATTAGCTAGCCTATCAGATCAATCTAAAACAACTATATATATCCTGCCTAAACTTAATTTACCATCTCCGTTTTCACAACCCCTCACTCTCTTTCCCTTCTTATTCCGTCTCATTCTATGATTAGGCGAAACAGTGGCTCAGTGGCTAGCGCTACTGCCTCACAACAGGGCCAAAGGTTCAAGTTCTAATTGAGCCAGAAGGCACTCCCTGCGTGGAGTTTTCATGTTCTTTTACTCTATTGTGATTAAACTGTATATTAAAGTGTAATCCTGCGATTGCATATCCTTCGACTTGACTATTGCAGATGCACACATTGCAATATCGATGCTGAAACAATATATTGTGCAGCCCCAACTTGAATGTAGGATAGTTGTCTTTACTTCTTTTTTGTTCTTTGCTCTCACATTGTTAGTGCTGTGTAATATTATCAAAATCAATACAAAAACAAATTTAAACAAAATAGATTGTTGCTTGTTCTATAATATGCTGTTATAAATTTGAACGTCATTGTTTTTCCAATTATCTACCATGTATATGTCGACATTAAATTAAACAATACATCATGAAAATGTACTTAAAAAATCTCTGCCTGCACCAAATGCTAGAGACAGCTGATGGCCAAAACTGTGTAAATTTAACAAAACATGGATTAGATTTTTTTTTTTAAATATATTGCAACTTTCATCATTCAATGCATTTAGATTATTAACTATTATCATTTAATATTAAGTGTCTGCAGCTTATATTTAGCTTGTTTCATAGTGGCTATGTTAAACAGTCCAACAAGTGATTATTAACTATTATTAATCTGTATTTTATTAATGCTTTAGTAAATTGTCTGCAAACTATTAAAACTGATCGGATCAGGTAAGAAAAAAAAAGCATTTGCAACTGGGGTGTTGTCTGAATAAAGCCGTGTGATTCATGCAAATTTTTTATCATACAGTTTGGACTTAAAAGATTTGAAGCTCAACAAAGCAGTGCTTTAAAATATGATTATGTAGCTCATCATGACTGATCTCTATCTCTTCTTGATTCGCTACAGTTTGTGGTGGACTGTGTGAACGTTGAACAGATTTCTTCATCCTGCGTCCAGCTGCTATCTGTTCTCTCTGCGGAGTCTCTGCTCTCTGCTGCTGTGCTTATACTCTTCAACAAGAGGTCAGCTGAACTTTCTTTCACTTTTTCTCAGTCCAGCACTAATTCATGTTAAACCGATCACTCCTCACTGCATATGTTTCCTCAGGGATCTTCTATGCAGTATGTCTCTGGTTGAGCTGAAATCACTGTTCAGGATGGATGACATCATCAAAAGTGCACCTCAATTTGTCACCATACTAGAGGTCAGTGCTCGCTCCGGGCAGGGCCTTCAGGACGTGCTCCACTGGCTTTCCTCAAACCTCTCTGACACGAGTGATTAGCATGAAGAAAACAGTGGGATTAACATAACAGGACACAGTAGATATCTGACAAATGTGATGTGAAGATGATTTACAGTGTAACTGCACTCAGCCACGGCACATCCAAACACATTAGTTTGAGAAACTGTGTCTAACTGAGGTGACGCAGTGGCGCAGTAGGTAGTTCTGTCGCCTCACAGCAAAAAGGTCGCTGGTTCGAGCCTCGGCTCAGTCAGCGTTTCTGTGTGGAGTTTGCCTGCTCTCCCTCCATTCGCTAAGTTTCCTCGGGTGCTCCGGTTTCCCCCACAGTCCAAAGACATGAGGTTCAGGTGAATTGGGTAGGCAAAAATTGTCCGTAGTGTATGAGTGTGTGTGTGAATGTGTATGTTTCCCAGGGATGGGTTGCGGCTGGAAGGGCATCTGCTGCGTAAAAACGTACTGGATAAGTTGGCAGTTAATTCCGCTGTGGAGACCCTGGATTAACAAAGGGACTAAGCTGACAAGAAAATGAATGAATGTGTCTAACTGATCGACTGGTAATGGACACATGGATAATTTCAGTGCTCTGAGGGAAACAATTTACTTTAAAGAAACTGATATGCACAATGAAAAGAAACCATGGTAACAACATGCTGAGAATCACTGAAATGCAAAAAAAAAGACTCCATAAGACTCCAGTGACTCTTGTGTTCCACTGAATAAAAAATGCATTTGTGTTCTTTGGACTATTTTGAGTTTGGAGTTAAGCATGAGCAGGTGAACATTATATAAGCCGACAGTATACATTTGCCACTGCGTAGTGTATTTGTACTTCTGTATTTCTGCATCATGGCCCTTTCTACAATCAACAAACAAAACAGACCTTTCTTTACCCATCTGAAGAAGAGTGTCAGCTCCTTGTACTTCAGCCCATCCAGCTTGTTCAAGCTTTCCAAAATGGACAGTAAAGGACATTAAGCTGTTTGTCGGTTATTAAGCAAAAGCAGATGTGACTATTGTTTTGTAATTTCTGTTTTTCTTCTTAATGCTTAGAGTCTTTGAAGATATAGTACGCTAGCATATTTACAATATGATCACGTTGCTTATCATGACTGATAACCATTTCTACTTTAATAAGTGTAGATTGTTGTGGACTATGTATTGTTATCTATATCAATAAAGCTGTTTGAGCTGTACATTTTTCTTTGGTCCATCAACCCTTATGTCAGAGAAGAGCTGTTTCTCAATTTCAAGAACGCAGAGAACAGACTTGCGTTATTGTGGAGACCGGTCTTGCCTGGTGTCCTCGGAAGAATGAACTCAGGAGACAACGAGAATAGAGAACGCGTCCTGTGAGAAATGAGATGCTGTGTTACTGTTTTTTCCCCTTTTCAAAATATATACTGTGCATAAAAACATTATAAATATACGTTGCACAATACAAAAAAAACTGATTTTTATATTAATTTTAGCAAACAAACATGTATATTAATGTGTATATTTCTTTATTAAGATGTCCATAGTAGTGTTTATATTCACTATTTCATTTAGGGAAACTTCTAAGGTAAATAAGTTACATCTCTGAACTTAAATAATAAATCGAAATAAAACGCAGTGCTTCCAACCTCAAGTCGCAACGACTTCTGGGACTTCTAGAGCAAGTTCGGGGCTCAATGCTGCATCAGTGCGTCCTCTATATTAAGAACACATCCGGGAAGTTTCAAGCGTCCTTTTACGCGTTCTTGCGGTCTTGAGTATTGGAACTGAACTTTGGCATCTGATGATGACGTTACATGAGAACACGAGGACACAAGACAGCTGAAGAACACATATTGAAAAACAGCAAAGGTCTCTGAAGTCTGAGATTGCAAACAGTTGCTTAACTAGTTTGTAGCCTCCCCAATCCCCAGCCAATAGAAATTAAGTTATTCACCCTGATTCAACAGTATTTGTCTCCTATAACTATAATCTGTCATCCATCATCATCCACCCTAACCCTCAGAAAACCAAAGGCCGTATTCTAAGCTCAATTCCAACACTTTCCTAGTGAAAGGCTGTCTTCAGAACCAGTAAATGTCCAATCTCCCGTCTAAACTCTATCTCACCCTACCTCAAGGGTGAACCCTCCTCAGTCAGCATGTTTTTTTCCACACTTTACAACACGTACATTGTTTTTTTACACTTAACTTTTTTCCAATAGCATCCTTTGGCCATGGAATCACTAGGAGTCACTGGAAATACTCGCCTTTTGATTATTCCATGCTTTATCAAGGGTTGCCATAGCAGAATAATTTCCCAATTACTCTGGCACATGTGTGTACACCCACACACTCTCCCTTTTACACACTATGGCCAGTTTAGTTTATTCAATTCACCTACAAAAAATGTCTTTAGACTAAGGGTGAAACAGAGCATTTGGAGGAAATTCCCGCAGACATGAAGAGAAAATGCAAACTGTACACAGAAAGGCCTCCTTGTGCAGTCGTACTTGAACCAACAACCTTCTTGCAGCGAGAAAACTGTTCTAATTACATAGCCACTGTGCCACCTCGCTAACAGTATCTAACAGTCAAATTGTCTATAGCTCTATGTATACACATGTGACATGCAAACTGCTGATCGGTCAGAGAAAACCATCACTACAGGTGTTATTAAATTTATGAAACAAGTCACCAAAACCAATTTTTTTAAATAGTCGAAGCAGCTACTGCTTTATTGTTATTTGCACAATCAAACAGCCATAGCCTAATGGCTAGAGTTTAAAGTTGGTGGGAGTGAATAACCTGCACTTAATACCACAACTGAGGGGAGTCCCTTGAGCAAGGCCCCAACTGCTCCCCAGGTGGTGCAGCAGGGGCTGCCCACAGCTCCCGGTGTGTGTTCACTTGGATGAGATAAATGCAGAGCCCAAATTCTGAATATTGATCACAATACTTGGCCACATATCACAACTTTAGTTTTCAGTAAAAGGTCCTGATGTTCCTCTTGTTTGTAGCTGAGGAGCAGATCCACCAAGAGCTGGAATGAGTTTTTCAGGAAGTCGTGACAGTAGAGGCAGCGCAACTATATCAATAATCCCACCTAATTTTATCAATGCTAATCTGAAGTGGAAACACAAGCACAGCAAACTAAACTAAACTAAAGCAAGCCTAGCTGAATCATACCGAACTGTACTGTATGAAATGACTTGAGTTTCATGTGAAGCTAAAATTTTTTGTTTTCCTATTGATGTAAGAATTAAACAAGCATATCCATAATTGCAGATCTTAAATTGTCATTAATGATAGTGGTCTTTATACAAACATAAATGTACCGCAGCTACATTTATTAGGGGTTTTGGACTTTGACGTTCACAACAAGAGATTTGTGGGTTACGGCTTTATTTCGTAGGTTTGCCTTAACATATAATCTGATTGAGCAGAAAGCAAGCACATTTGGTGAGCTGCCCAGAGGGAGGTCTAATAGTTCTGGTTATGCTCCACCCAAACCTTGTTCTGTCTTTTGATCAGTCCAAAGTATCTGCAAGTGGGTGATGAAGTAAACCTGGTCAAATCCACTAATTTTGTCCTTAATCTCAACACCTACAGTCAGTGTTGTATACCAGTACCTTTTCAAAAGATACATATTTGTATCGAAAGAGCGGTACCTCAAAGGTGCATATTAGTACCCAAATGTACCTAAAAAGTACTTTTGAGGTACCAATGTGGACCCTTTAGGTACAAATATGTACCTTTTGAAAAGGTACCGCGACAGCCCCTGTACCTTTATTTCTGAGAGTGTACTGTGATTATAGTTATTTTAGTTTTTCGTAGACATACAAATTGGCCACAACGTTATGTGACTTTTTGCCTTTTTTTTTGTCAATGTGGCACTGTTTTTATTTCCTGCACTGAATTTCTCATTTTTTGAAATTCCAAAGAAATAAAGATCTAAAATGTTGGAAATCATGCAAGAAATGACAAGGCGTGGAGAGAATGATTTACTAAACATGAAAATAACAACAAGCCACACTTTTTAGTTTCATCTCCATCTTTGTATTTGATAAGCAACGTGCAATTGTCTCACGTACTTGCATTCTGTTAGTATGTGGCATCAACTCATTTTGAACACCACAGTGAGTACATTCTCTTGCTGGAGGACTAGTCATTCAACAGTCAATGCCCAATATTATAAAATCATACTTAAATTATTGGCCCCAAAGTCCCTGTCATTTCATACTGGAGCCAGTGACCCATCGGATGCCTTCAGTGTTCACAGATACCAGTCATGTCAAGTAAATAAAAGGATTGCATTGAAAGTCATCAGATACTCCAGGCTAATAAAATACCACTAAAGCAGAGCTAGAAACTGGTGTGAGGAATCCAAGATTATGATAAAAATCTATGAGGCTTTGGAATTGTGCTTGGGTTATGCAGTGGGCTTTTTGGAACAAGTAATAAGAGCTTCTTATCCAAACTATTGTAATACTTGGATTAAATATTCATAATTTTAACCTGTGCCATTTATTTGTAATTTCTTATAAAGCCAGCATCTGTATTGCCATGTTTATGCCTAGTTGACATTCACACATTTTATTACAGTTGGAGGTCATTCACACATACAGTGATTCACACATACTCCATAGTGGACATTCTTATTGCTAGCTAGGCTAGTTAGTAGTGTCAGTGAAAAGCTTTGCATTCAATTTTAATTTTTATGTGCAGACAAACTAAGCTGTGAATTTTTCATCTGCTACTTTTTTTGCATTATAAAAATGCTTAATGGAAATGCCAAGATGTGCATACATTTTGAAAACGTAGGTTTAGGATCTACTTAGGAGATTAATTTAATTTGACAAGAAAAAAATTGCACACAATGATGGTACCAAATTTACCAAATAAATTCTAGCATGCTCATCAAAAAGTCGTGATTTTGTGTACCACATTGTAAAATAGCTGAGATGTGGTTTTGGTCATTTAAAATCTCTTAGCCAGAGTTCATCATCAAAGTGGTTCGTAGTATAACCTCCCTAAATTACCAACTCCCAAAGCCACCGCACATTTATTGATTTCCGTCTTCATCTTCTGAGGCACAAGTAATTTATTCTATATATAAAAAGGTCCACTGTTTATTCTATATAAAATACATTTACATTACAATTACATTTCTTCTTTTCGATATTTGGAGGCGGTTTATCAGAAAGTGATTATTTTGTTCTCTTTGACTCACTACATGGAAACGTGCTTCATTCATATGGTGCCTAAATTTAAATGTATTTCTGTCTCATTATGCTTGAACAACTAAATAAATACTTGGGTCTATTTAACTGACTGGATTGTGATTATATTATACTATTGTTGCTGTTCAATGGAACACATGAAATGGAAGATGGTCAGGCCATCGCTTTCACTATAAGTTTTCTTGGCGGGTTTGGGCACACCCTGTGCATAGAGCCCCTTTTCCACTTGTTACTTTTTCTATTTATTACTATAAAGCTGTTTTGTCCCAAACATTTGTGGTTTTTAAACTGACTAAACAAGTTTAATGAACTTCAACAACAATAATAACCAAACAACATTTCATCTAAGCAAAAGAAGAAAAATGTAAGGGGAGAAAAAAGCAAATAAAAACCAAATGAAGAGGGCAAACATTGGCTGTGTTCCACTTTGCTTTTAGACATTTGTGAACTTCTTTCAGCACTTTCCCTCTGCCATTTTCAAGTGTGTTCCTGCAGTTAAAGCTCTTTGAGTTTTCCGTTATGAATGCCTAATAGATTGAGATTGACTTCATCTCTGAAGAATGCAGAATGTATGGGCAATATAGCACTGTTCAAGAAATCAATCCTGCATTGATTCTGACAATTTCAACATTGCTTCTGAGTCTAATTTTTAACAGCAGATGCATCCAATTTCTTACGCATAAAGCTTGAACCTAAATTAATCATTAATAAGCTTAGGAAATGTTTACACAAATTATTCAGTGTTCACAGTAAGCTGTTGTTGCATTAATTTTGAGATCTAAAAAACAATTTCCATGACTCCGAGCTCTTCCTCTTGATTATTTGAGTGCATGGTAAAAAACCAGCCTAGAGCACCATCTGCAGTTAAATAAAATAGCCTAGAGCACCATCTGCTGTTGAAAACCACCCTAGAGCGCCATCTGCTGTTAAAAAAACCTTGAGTGAATTCTGCTGTTGAAAACAAGCCTGGAGCAGAGTTGTTCAACCACGTTCTTGGAGGACCAGCAGCGCTGCACATTTCCTACATCTCCTTAACCAAACACACTTGATTCTGATCATAAGCTCATTAGCAGAGGCTGAAAGACCAGTAATGAGTGTGAGAGACCAAGGAGACATCCAAAACATGCAGTGTTGTTGGTGGTCTTTCAGGAACGTGGCTGAGAAACACTGGCCTAGAGCACCATCTGCTGTTAAAGAAAAGCCTAGAGCAGTGCTTCTTAAACACATTCCTGGAGGACCACCAGCTCTGCACATTTTCTACGTCTCTTTAACCAAACACACCTGATCCTGATCATAAGCTCATTAGCAGAGACTGAAGGACCTGTAATGAGTGACAGACAAAGGAGACATCCAAAACATACAGTGTTGGTGGTCCTCCAGGAACGTGGTTGAGAAACACTGGTCTAGAGCACCATCTGCTGTTAATAACTAAGCTCAGAATCAATGCTGAATAGATTTCTTGCACTATTTTTTTTGCCACAGCTCTAACGTAACGTGTAGCTGTTGGCTTTATTACTTGTCTGCCCCATGTTGATGTTTTTTTTAGGCCAACTATACAGGTGAACATGCTAGATCATGTGTTTGCTACTGTGCATGTGTGCGTTGCATAACTGATCATTTATATAACATTCAAATTAACCACTTGATACAACCACAAAGCATTACCAGTGGTCGTTGTTATTAAAAATAAGTATATTTGTAAATTAAAAAACAATGTATGTGTGAATGCCTCTTGAGAGCAACTGCATAGAGCAAAACCTTTAGGCTGTGAAATGAGCAAAGCCATTAAAAATGTGTTCCAGTTTTAAGTCATTCGGTAGTTAAACAGTCCTTTTTTGGATGTAGTCTTTCAGAGGAACGGGTTCTGATTGTGTGTATCTGGATCTGCAAGCATGGTTTTGCTGGACAGTGGTAGCAGTGGTTGCGGTAGGGGTCCAGGGATCAGCGGCATCACCTGTGCAGACTGTGTGAAGGTGTTGGGCAAAGAGCTGGGCTGCTGGCTGGATGCCATGGCCAGAGACGCATTGAATGGAAGTGATGAGGGTGCGGGAGACGTGGAGCTGGGACGCATCTGATTAAGCGTCAGGCGGGGTGCTTCATTTTGGAATGGATTAGAGGTTGTCGGAGCAGGCACTCCTGAATTAAAATCAGAATAAAGAAAATTATTATGGATTTTGAAGTACATAACCTAATATAGGTTAAATGGTTAGTTCAACCAAAAAATGTAAATTCTGTTATTAATTACTTGCCCTCATGTCATTCCAATCCCCTGAGACCTTTTTTCATCTTCATTCCACAAATTCATAAATGGAATGCAAGAGCTTTTTCAACAGCACTGGTCCTAAGACTAAGCCTGTAGTTAATGTCAACCCTGATCTGAAGTGGAAGATTATAGTTAACAAAGTCATTAGGTGCGTACGACTTTATGCAGCGCTGCGCAGATCAATCAGAATCTGTCTTAAAAGCAGTGCATACTGGTTAGAAATGTTGTCCCTATTTATGCTGCGTTGATGCCACTTATTTCTACAAATATTTCTAATAATATTAGATTGGTGTTAAATATTATTGATTAATCAGACCTAAGCCTGGGATGATAACCATTTTCAAGGTATACCACGGTTTGGAAAAGTCAAGGTTTTAAAACAGTCAAAATTTTCTGCAATACCGTTCCTAAGGTATGTGTAAGATGTTTTACACTCATTGCCATTATGGGGTATTGTGTGTAGAATCTTGAAGAAATAAATGAACTTTATCCATTTTGGAATAAGGCTGTACAAAAAAAAAAAAAAATGGAAAAAGTGAAGCGCTATGAATACTTTCCGGATGCACTGTAAATATGTGGTTACACCAGGATTTGTCGCTTAAGGGTAGAACTTCACTTTCTAAAGCACAGGGTCTTTTAAGTCTAGCCTTCTCTACAGCATCACTGTATGTGGATACTAAGACTTTCAAGACAACTGATCAATCCTTGTTTAATTATTAAAAATAAGAAACACTATATTAGAAAATATGTAGTTTTAAATAATTATGAAAATTGCGGTCCTATTTTCATCAGTTTTGCTAATCCTAATTATACATTCAAAAATAATTGGATTAATCAGCATCTTAAATATCCTGCCTCTCTGTAGAATTTTATACCAAATTTGTTTTTCTTTAAATTAGGGGGTTTAAATTTTTTGCTCTTGTGTAATTGTAATACAGAGAAAATACCTTCCAAATCATTTCATAAACAATGTCTGTTATCGCGGTCTTTAATTTAAAAGCACAACTTTTCCCCACATAATTAAATAGTTTTGCACAACCGAGAATTATTTTACAAAAATAAGTCAATTTACTTTGATAATTGGGCTAAAAATAGTATAATTTATGTTAGACAATTAATCTGCTCCATAAAACATATGCTGGATGAGTTTGCGGTTCATTCCGCTGTGGCGACCCCAGGATCAATAAAGGGACTAAGCCAAAAAGAAAATGAATGAATAAATAAATGATAGACAATTATTTAATAACAAAGGAAGGCCTTTTTAATAGAAGGATTTTTTTGTCCAATTACAAATATCCAATCACAGCTAAAGAATTTGCTATTGTTTTTGGAGCAATCCCCTCTGGGATTATTATGCATGCATGGGACAATCAGTCACCCGAGGATGTGCCACATCTAAAGCTGCTTTTCCACTATCGTGCCAAACCATTCTAGGAACACTTCGGTACGGTTACGGTTGTTTCTCCACTGAGCCTGGAACGGCGCGGCACGATTACAAACCGTTCTCGGCCCGGAATTCTCGGCACGGTTAGACAACCGTGCTGAACTGTGCCGACAGATTCTGTGTGTTGATGTCGCGGCTCTGTTGCTAAGCTACCACAGCTGGCTCAGCAAAAGCGCGCTAGTCATCAGACATCCTCAATAAATACAGTACATTAAATATAAAATAATGATCCAGGTCTAAACGATACAGTTTGAAAAGGGTTTTAAAACCATAGCAGTCTCTGGCAGATAAGTGAATAACTCATCACATTTTATTCATTAAAGTTATTATTTTATGGACTTGTCTTGAATACAGACCTACTTCGCCTGCCTGAATGTGAGTTTATTGCAAGCAGCGCTGTATTTCACAGCACAAAACTCGCTCTGATCCAGGAGAGACATGCCAGCGACTTGCGCTGCTGACTTTTTTTTCCTGCTGCGCATCGAATAAAGCGAATAAAGTGAATAAATATCCATGGAACACGAACTTGCAGACTCTTTAAACAACAAGGAAATAATTGCACTTTTTAATTCAAAGCCAGGACAGCTTGTTAATACCGGCGAGACCACCTAAAGGACGGCGTGTTGTAATGTCGGCCGTCCAAAAGACTTTGCTTGAAAGCTTTAGGAAGGGGCACTGTAACTGTCCAAGGTACTGTTGTATGATTTATATTATAGCATATGCACTAATAAACAAGTCAAAAGAATGAATTAATTAAATAAATATGGATTCTTGAATGTCAGTATTGCTTTTACTCAAATAATATCAATACGTTTTGACAAATGTTTTATAAAAATAAAATGAGCTATTTTCATCATTTCAGCTATAGGCAATTATATGATTCAGTTATACATAAGTTATATGACATTTATGAGGCATGTAACATGTTTCTGTGTTTTTGTTTTTTTGTTCTTGGTGATCTTTAATATAGCTACACTGTAAAAAAATTGCTGTTAAAAAACGGTCAGATTCTACGGTAAAATAATGTTTTTTCACTAAAAAAGTAATATTCGGTTAAAAACAGTGCATTCTGTGTAACATTTTTGTTTTCGAGAAAGTAACCAACAGCAGAAAACTGTGAGCTAACAGATCTCAGATTCGACATTTTGAAGTCTGTGTTTAAAATCACACTTTGTGCCCTTGTTCACTATTCCATCAACTAGTTTATCAATATAGTTCATCTGACAGAGTTAATGAACACTAATGAGTGAATTCAGACACTGATGAACACCTGCTGTTAATAATCACAATTACTGAAGGAAAGAAAAACAAGAAACACAAACAACACTTGAGTTACAACATTAAATAAAATCAAGTAAAATAAAACACTTTCAGTCTCAGCAGAGGATCATTAAACAACTCCACAAACAACAGCAGACACACTTATTACTGACTGATTTGACTTCCATACAATTCTCATTGAGATCCAACAGAAATTTAGGTGTTTTTTGTGTCACCATATTGGAGTGAGGGGCTGGTTTAGTTGGGCTCTTCACCCTTGAACTCATTAATTCAGACTCTCCAACTGCTGTAATACAGAGTTTAAAAAAACACTTTTATTATAGCAATAAAATGGGAAAGACAATAGATAAATTAATCTATTTGTCTGAAATTAGTTCTGATAAATGTTTTAGTACAAATCTGGATGAAGGGCCTCATACAATAGATTTTATGCAGATCTTAATTTAATTAATGAGAAGTGGAAACAGATAAAATACCTACGTAAATACTTAACAGTTAAGAAATAACATACAAAAACAGTTCAGTTATGACAAAAGCCCCTTTCACACATACAGACCTTTCCGGAAAATTACCGGCAATTTTCCGGAAAGGTTGCATGTGTGAACAGGCCCTTTTTGAAAATACCGGTAAATTCGCTCTGGCTATTTTCCGGAAAGAAAAGTTGTAACATTACCGGTAATTTGCCGGAATGCTGCGCTGTGTGAATGCAGAAGGAAGATTGCCGTAATAAGCGCGTCCACGTCTAGAACGGGCTGACGTGAGACATCTGCTTTAGCCAATCAGAACAGTCAGACGCATTCACGTGCGCGCGGTTTATGAGAATAAAAGCCTTTGAATATTTTTTCCAGAAACCTTTAGCTGCTAGATGTTAGTCAGATAATGTTTCTATGTTCCTTCTCAATGCTGTGTAAATAATTATGGATAAAATGTTTATGATAATCCGTTGTTTGTTTACCTTCAAGCTCTGCGTGTGCCCGTGAGCGCCCATAGCGCCAGCACACACGCATATCATGAACATCTCGACATGCGAAAGTGTTTCCCTATGTTTTCATTAGAGTTGTACTCAATACTGATCCATCCGATGAGTTTGTAATGTAGTCAAATGTTTACAAACACAAGCGCAGCCGTTTAGAGGTCATTTCTGGTTAATGATGTCAGAATTTACTGGCATTTTGCGATGGATGTGTGAATGCTCTTTTCCGGAAAAATTCCGTAACGTCCTCGCCTGTGTGAACAGTGTTTTTTTTAATATACCGGTAAAGTAGTTCCGGAAATTTTCCAGATATTTACCGGTATCACTGTGTGAAAGGGGCTAAAGACACACTCAGACCTCATGAATCAGACCTTGTATCTCAACAATGGTAACAATTCAAATGTTTCATGCTGCAATGCATGCTGGGTGTGGCACAGTACAGATATCCCAGCCTGCATTGCGGCATGAATAAATGTTGTATAAGGGTGTCACAGTTTTCTTTATTTATGTTTGATTCTGCTTTTGTTTATGTTTAGACTTTCAGTTGCCTGTTTGTGAGTTAAACTGTTAATTTTGTTAGTTGTCACCATTATTGAGGTTCATACGCCGATTACGGACGTCTGTTTGAGTGCTGCTTACGCCATAGAGCAAAGTGTTTTAGTCCAAGATATTCTTAAAACTTCCAGAAATCATTGCCACATACAGACCTAAAATGTGAAACAATAGATTAAACATTGAATAGGAGCAGTAAATTATATTATACCTAATTAGAACAGACTCTACCGTTTAATAACAACATGAACATCACCAGATCTTATTTAGGTTTTTGGCTGGCTTGCCACATCAAAAGAGCTTTTTTAAACAAAGTTCTTAACAATTGCAGCAGCCGAGATATATTAATCATAAAAATGTCAGGGCTAAGAGCCCAACTAAAGCAAACTCTGTTCTCCATGATGGTGACGTAAAACTTTAACTTTTTTCTCAAGAAGAACTTTAGTAGATGTTATACAAAAATACATGTATTAAGTAATAAGTGTAGCTGGTGATGATGTTTGTAGAGTTGTTTAATCATCCGCTGATCATTTAAATGATTAAATCATTTGTTGTTCTTCAGGTTATTTCATTATAAAGCTGTGACTAAAGTTTTGTATGTTCTGTTCTTGTTTTTTCCCTTCAGTATTTCTTCATTTGTTCATCGCTAATCCTCAATTATCTTTTAATTAGTCATTTAATTAATTCATTTACTTCAGCTTTGCTACATGTTTCTTGAACACTCAGTAGTGTGGACACTTCAATTAAATCTGGGGTATTTGCTCTGTGGTTTAAAGGGTTAAATGTATGGAGTTAAAAACACAGTGTAAAAATGTATTTTAGCAGGAATATACTGTTAAGTTAAACTACGGAAGTAGACTGTAAAAAAACAGTAGATTGCTGGCAACCACAGCTGCCAGTAGTTTACCGTTAAATCAAGGTAAAAACAGTATTTTACTGTAAAACCTGAAGCAAATTTCTTCTGTGTGTCACCGTTGTGGAGGAGAGTAGAGCCAGTGTATGAGTTAAAGATGAACAATGAACTGCTGATGTTATTCTGTATGTTTCTTTATTTAAAGACAGTGGCTGCTCAGTTGCTGATGCAGTCAGAATCTCTCTGTGTTAATTCCAACTTTACATGTATGTGTGCTGATGTGAAATTTAAGACATTTGAGTCAAACAGAACTTTTCTAATTAACTAAAATAAGTTATCATTATAAGCATGCTTCTATAGCACATTACTTCATAAACTCATACAGCAGTTGGCAAATTTGAGGCAGTTGCTTTCAGTAAACAAAATGAGTTCACTTGAGTGTTGTGAATTTCAATGTAGTCCATGTATTTTTACAGCAACATACTGTAAAATAACAGTACATTGCTGGCAACTGCAGCTGCCAGTATTTTACCGTTTTTTAACGGGACAATTTTTAACAGTGTACGCAAATATTTTCTAAAACATCTAGCAATAATTCGCCTACAGCTTGTTAGTTAATTATGAACACAAAAATAATTATAATAATAAAAATAAAATGATCAAAATAAAAAGATAATAGAGCAGCGTTTTGCTAAATATAATAGTGCTTTATATGCTTTAAATCCTGCTATGTGTTGTTTCATATTCGTTTTTATTTCACTTGGTGCATTCGTTATTTATTGTTTGAATAGTAAAACAAATAACAGCCATTGCTTAATTGGTGTCATTTTACCATCAAAATGTAGTATATTTTATTTCATGATCAACTTTTGATATGAAAACACAGTGTAATTTAATTGATTGTTAAAAATAATAAATAATAAAATAATTTATATGCTGTGTTTTTATTAGTGAAAGTGCCTGCTCACCTTTGACAAGGCCTGTCCAAATTGATTTCTGCCACTATAATTAAATCACACTGAACTGAGCTAAACTGATCTGAACTGAACTTAAACACTAAAACCTGAACCACACTGTTCCAGTTACTATGACCATTTATGTGAAGCTGCTTTGACACAATCTACATTGTAAAAGCGCTATACAAATAAAGCTGAATTAATACAAATGCACTATTATTTTTGTCTTATCATTGTTTATTTTTCTGTTATGTTCAGAGATTTTAAATATTATTTATTTCCCCTCCAATTATTTTCAATCATCACGTTACATTTTGGTAATTTTCTCTCCAAATAAAATTTTGCCAGAGCTGCGCAACATATAAATAAGAGTGTACATGTACCTATATTTAGCACCCCTATTTGATAGAGCGGCATAACAGTGTTTAGTCACATGGTTGCTTTCGCTTTTATGAAAAAAAAAAATAAAAATAAATAACTAGTTTCTCTTATTTAATTTAACTGAACCGTTTACATTGCGTTACCAAGGCAACTACTGATGCGTTTTGTATAATGTTTTAAAGAGCTTTGTCGCAGCACGACAGTGGAAAATAAAACCATATACGTGCTGTCTGGCCCGGTTTGGCACGGAATGGAACAGTTCTGTTTAAAGAACGATTCAGCATGATAGTGGAAAAGCGGCTTAAATGTGCTAAAAACTGTTCTTGGTAAATTACTATTTACCACAAAGCCAAATAACAAAAATATCTGCTCTCTATTTCAGCCTGAGATAATCTCTAGTCCTAATGCTGTCTATTATTGGAACAGACAGTTTTTGCAGTTTTCATTATGTCAAATTTAAGACTTTTTAAGACCATTATGAATGAAATTTTAGAGTTATACAGGGCTAAAAACTAATGATTATTTCTAATGGCCCGGTTATTTATAATGATTGCCACAAAAATCTAATGTAATTATTTCTTAAAGACATACTTTAATGTGTCAAAACAAGAAAACTCTAGTTGTATACGCTATTTTCAACATAATACTACATACTTTTTTGTTTTAAATGACAAGTTTAACATTGTGAAAAATATATTTATTGTGGAGATGATTACATAAATAATCAAATATATATATACTTGTTGGCTTTTGGTCTAAATTGATTGAGCACAATTTCTATTTAACCTAATGCATTTCTGTTATAAAACCTTAAGATTCATGTGTAATTGTGTAATTGTTTTTAGTTTTCTTTCCCTGATTTTATTAAGATGGATTGGTGGTGATTGGATGGATGGACTGAGGAACTTTTACTTGGACTGAGGAAAATTAAGACCTGTTTAAATTTATTTAAGACCAATTTAACATTACAGTGAATTTAAGACATTTTTAAGGCCTAAAATTTTGTTTTTGAAATGTAAGTCTTTTTAAGTGTCTTATAAAATTATACAAAGTTTTATTTCTGAAGATTTTAATGTAAATTGCTCCTTCTGCGATCACCAAACTGAAGGTCTGTAAATTGTGAATTTACCAAAAATGTATTAGGTATATGTAGTGGCATAATCTCTGATATTATGTTGAAATATGTTATTTTAGGATATAACCATTAGAATTAACATCCAGATGTTTTTTTATTTATTTAATATTATTATCTTACTGGTTAATTATTGGTCCCCTTTATGTTGTGTCACAGTTACCTGTGAACTTACATGGTAACTAGATGTGTAAGTAGTATGTTACTACAGTGTATGTACACACTGGTACATAGTATTTACTTGTGTTATACTGGTGTAACTATACACAAGTAACAACACTGAATAGTATGTGTAAGTTCAAATGGGTAAAAGGACATTGGTAACAACACAAAAAATGTACACATCTGTAACAAGAATTATATAGGTGCATTGTGTGACAACAATATACTTGCAGGTGTTTTCCCACTTCCACACCTGTTTGCATACTATGTGCTTCTGAACACTGTATTCGAATAAGAATGGCAGAACTAATGCTGCTTTAGAAGGTTTCACCTTGTGATACTAGTGTAATTACAGGGTAAGTCATCAGAAACTGCCCACTCAATATAAAGTTTAAAATGGTCACAAATGACTGTGTAATATATATAAAAGCATTTGTGCAACTGTTTAACAACAGCAAACTTCTGCCAAAACATATAAGTTTAAATAGAAATATACACATGCCTTATGTTTATGTTGTTTTAAGGTAAACTGTATAATCACCTCAGTGATTCACATTAAAGGGGTGGTTTACCAAAGATAGTGTTATTAATTTCGTGTTACACAAACACATACTATTCAGTGGGTTGTTACATGTGTATAGTTTCACCAGTATTACACAAGTAAATACTATGTACCAGTGTGTACAGACACTGTAGTTACATACTACTTACACATCTAGTGACCGTGTACATTCACAGGTATAAGCGACACTTAATATAAAGTAGGACCATTACAGTTGAACCACTGAAGTGTTGAAACAATGTTTTTTTTTTAACGGGATAAGTGATCTCTCAGATTATATCTGAAATAACATAGTTTGTATTCAGTAGATGAAATAATGTCTCAGGAGGTGGAATCGACATGATGGTGAGTAATTATTAACAGAAATTGTATTTTGACATAATCTAATAATGGTGCATTCTGACCTGATAAAAATGGGTTGAAGTTCTTGGAAGTAGGATTTGGGGGTATCAGAGAATCCAAGTTGACAAGTGAAGCTCCAGATGGACCCAGAAATGCCTCAGGAGTACTGCAGGTTCGAGGAGCTGGTTTTGGTAGACCTTCGCCAAGGGAAGACAAATTGAAAGGCTCAGGACTACCATGGCCATTCACATTTGCCTGGCCTCCATCCATAGCCTCATCAAAAAGATCATCATCTATATAATAAGAATTCAACATGGAAAAATAAAATATATAATACAAAATGCACACTAGCATTCAAATATTTGGGGAAGATAGTGCTTTTTAAGATGGTTATCTTCAAGTGTGTTCACAGTTATAGTTATTTTGGTCTGGACCAAAATATATCAATACTTTAAGTCCTGCACTGTGTAAGTTTTAGGATAGAACCTAAAAAAATCAAGCGCACAAGAGTTTATTTTAATTGTGAACACAAGACATCCCTGTACTTAGCAAGCATCATTACTCAAATGATCTTTCAGAAAATATTTTAATATAATGATTTGGAGCTCAAGAAACATTTCAACCGATCACTATTACTTTTGGTAAAAGCAGTTTTTCAGAGTTTTTCAAACAAATACCTAATAACCCCAAACATTTGAATAGTAGTATGTTTGAAGAAAAAAAAAATTATGAAATGGTGAATAAAATAAATGTTATTATTTTAAAATAAATGATTAATATTAGAATATTAATATTAATGGAAATGAAAAAAAAATCAAAGTGATTGCCTGAGGGACTTCCTGCACGAGGGGGTGAAGTTTTGAGAGGGCCAATAGATCCTCGTCTGTCCACTACGGGGGGAGAAAAAGGATCCACTCCAGCCCCTGGAAGATTTAAACACCCATAATACACTGAATTGCTAGACCATATATATTATCTCTAGGTCATCTCTATGCTACTGCACCCCTACATTTACCTAATAGAGACAAAAGATTATCAAGCATAATTGGGAAAGAACGTTTTTTTTAGAAAATTTAAAAATATATTTTTCTTTAAAATTAGCAAAGGATTAACAGCATCGTTAGGATATTTAGTATATTACAGGATGCAAACTTGTCATGGTTTAAAAAAGGTGACCCTATATAGTGCACAGCATAAACAAGTACACCCCCGTTTTGAAGATAAATATTTGTACCATTTCTCAGTGAATATACACAATATATTTGGGTGCATTTAAACAGGTTTTAATAAAAGGATATATTCATTAGGATAAGTAACTTAACATTTTTAGGAATGGTATAATAATACATACTGCAAAATTTAAAAAGTAAACGAAAAACTTTTCCTCTTTTGCTTATTAAAATTTGACTTAATACTTCCATTGGTGTGTATTATTTTTTCACTGTGATCTTGAGTTGTTTTTTTTTTAGATTTGTTGCAGCTGTGGCTTTAATACTGACTAATGTAATGTACAAGCATATCTTATTATATAGCATCCTATAGAAACTTTTCATTCTAAAGAGATCTTGTGTACTCATATATATATGATAAGAAAAATAGTTGGATCATCACAGAAAATTGTATATATAAATATATATTAGGGGTGTGATGAGACACTCCACAAGACGAGACACGAGACTGGGTTCACGACAAAACGGGACAAGATTTTTACAGTATTTTTAAGAAATATTCAATGATGAAATACATGAATGAAAAATATTGTATTCAACAAAACTATTTATGTGCTTCTTTATAAAAATAAAAAAAAAGTCAAATAGTACTGAATGTTATTTTACTTCTATTTTAATGAATTCTATTAAGGACATGCAAACACGGCAAAATATCTGGTAATATATGAATGGAAAATTTATTTTTATTTACCTCAAAAAAAAAAATCACAAAATGTAAAACAACTCATTTTTAAATCAACTTGTAATAAATGTTATTTTACATTCATTTTATTGAATTGTGACATAAAGGACATGCAAATACTGCTAAATATTTAGCTCTAAACGCTACTCACTGGCTTCTCCCCTGTACCGTTTCACATGTGAACAGAACTCCTTTTCACAAATTGAAATTAAAAAAAAAAATTGTAAACATGTCATTTTGGGTTTAAATTTTTCAACAGTTTCACTTTCTATTCAGCAAGAGCTTACGTTTTGCAGTTCTAATCCAATCCTGCCTCTAACCTACAGTGCTAAATTCACCCTCATGCTCCATCAAAACATCACAACTGGCGAGACAACTTTTCACCTCAATGAGAAATCTCGTCGCGATTTAGTCTCACGAGATCACATCACATGTATATATATATATATATACTGTATAAGGCATGTGATGAGAGACTCATCTGATAGAGAGACTCTCGTGTTCTCTATGTTTGCATGCCATCGTAAACACAGAGCTCTCAGTAAATTGGCATTCAATCAGATGCTTTTTAAAGTCCACTAGAACCAGAAGCTGCGATATTTGCGATTATTGTGATGCGGTTTCTAAAGAAGCTGATTTTTAAATGAGAAGACAGTGGATGTGGCTTGTTTTTTCTACTGCGAGTTGATTGGATGTAGTAAAGTAGGCATTTAATTCAGAAAGATCAGGAAATGGTTTTGGGTTATTACGACCTAACAGACACCTCCTCCTTACCATTTCTGTTTGTTGTCAAAACTGACAGACAATCATAATTTGAGAATTTAACTGAAAACAAACAAGAAGTGCTGCATTTTCAGATTTAATTTTAAATTAGAAGGGCAAACTATTTTTTTCTTAATGACATGCACAAATTAACTGTTCACCACAAAACTAGCAATGTGAGCTAACAAAATCATATGGTTAGTTTTGATTTCATTTGTACTTTAAGCTAAGTTTATAGTTAAATGCATCCAAATATTGAAATTTGCAGAAAGGTGACAAGTTTGCACCCCTGTTATCAAGCTTATTAGCTTCAGTGTATCATCATGCCGTTGTAGAGTTGTACCATGTGCAGGGGAGATCCAGGTGTGATTCGTGGACACAGGGCTGGAGGCATTCTGAGGGGCATCCCATGGGTCAGAAGTTTGCTGTCGATGTGCCCAGGGTTGGGAATATTCACTTGATGCAGGAGGTGCATTCCATGAGCTTCCATGCCGGCGGATTGAAGAGCTGGGCTCTGCAAAACAGGAGTTAAGCATTACATCAAAGCAATATTGCTGATGGTTTATGTTCATTTTATTGCTTAAATGTGCACCAACAAATATTTTGTTTGAGTGCCACTTTGTAAAACAACAGTTGTATTGAACTTAAAGCTAACACATCACCTTATTATGTAACTGCTTAGTCCTGTTTAAAGTTATCTTGACAGGAGTAAAATATCAGTTGTAAGCACATATCTTGAGTCACATATAGAGTGCACATGGGAAGTATTATAAGCACTTTTCCCTACATTTTGTTTAATTGAAGCTTTATTCTAAATTGGATAAATTTTTTATTTTTCTTAAATTTCTACAAACAACACCACTATATATAATATATATAATAATGCATGTTATATATATATATATATATATATATATATATATATATATAATGCATGTTTCTACAATACTGATTTTCTTCTAGTGTCTGTGCGTTCAACTGCTGTGTAATTATACTTTTTAAATTAGCTTTTTTATTATCGTGGCAGAGGCATAAAAAAAACAGATATTGATTTTGACCCTGGCAGGCCATGATATAGACCACTTGTACAGAAGCAGCAAACATTTTTTGTTAATGCCGTCATTTAGGAACGCGTATTGTAACCCATTCACCACTGCATTAGTCACTCATGGTTCATTGACTTTAAAAAATGAAAATGTATCCAAATGTTGCATAAGTGCAAATGTTCCAAATGCAAGTAAAACTAATTATGGTGATTGAATAACGATTAGCATTAATACTACTTTGTTTGTTGAGCTCTCATTTATGTTGCGACCCAAACAAGCGCGTCATAACAAGGCAAAAATACTTTTTTTTTTTTTAAAGTTGATTAATGATGAATCCTGCTTATAAAAACTCAAAATCTATTCCCTCACATATAAATTCAAGTTTCTTTTCACCAATCCCTTGTTCCATCAGAGAAAATAAATAGGATAAATGTTCTTACTGTCAAATTATTCTATGCAATATCCTGTAATATAAGTCTTAGGTGTTCCCAGAATGTGTCTGTGAAGTGAACATATCTCAAAGATTCTATAATATGTACAATGCAAGGAATGCCCCTTTTTAGATGAAAAGAAAAGCATGCTGTCACTTTAAATGAAAATGAGCTGCTGTTTCCCACCCCCTTTCCAGAAGGTAGTGTAACCTTTACAGCTTCTGCCTCAGCTACTCCATCAACAACAAATGAAAATATCTGCATTTGTTTTAAAGCCTTTACAGTTTAAACTCCTGCTAAACAGACATGAACCATGACCACAGCAGTGTTAAATTTGTCAATGAATATAAGTATTGTTCAAATGTTCGTTGCCTATGGCTTGAAACAAACAGAAACTTGACAGGTCTGCTGCAGCAGTAACATAACTGAAAACTATGCATTCTAAACTGTTCATCTAATAAATGAACTGATGAAAAATAACAATGTTTAGTTTATATCTTTTTGAGTATATTTCAGTCTCGTCTTTCTTTATCAACAGTATTGCATGCTGATATAGTCATGTCGTCCCTTTTATAATAATTTTTTGGTCTTTCCACTGTCAAAAGCTACCAAAAAGCAAACTGTACTGTAGCACTTTTTGAGTACCCTTTGCAAAGGGTACCAAGCACGACAAAAGCTTATCAAAAGGCGGAGCTAGACGCGCAGCAGAATGCTATTGGTTTACAGAGAAACGTCACTAGCACATGCACAAGCAGGAGAATATACAGCCGAGACATTACACTGTAATACTACATGCATTCAACAACGAGCCATGGTCGACCCGAGCTCAAACAAACCTTGTCGTTGTCTTAATGAACAGCCACAAAGCCAATAACAACAAAATCTGCTGTGTCCTGTTTTTGTTTTGCGAGGCCGTCTACAATTGTGAGCGGTTGCGTCTATGTTTGAAATAACTAACTTTTTGAGCTGATGATATTAACGTGCGCATGATTATTAAAGTGCTTCTGACATTCGATCGTTTCGGAAATGGACAAACGTGACAAAACAAAGAAGCAAATGATTCTTTCAGCAGCCTAAAACATGAACAAACTGCCACCTTTAACTATTATCATCAATATTTGGACCATTATGAACTCTGAATGACGAAATTACTTTCTAACAAGATGTTACATGTGCTGGTGAAGAGTAAAGAAAGGGTACCATTGGTACCACTCAGTATAAACGGGACATTGGTCTTGGAAAAAAGGTAGTAATTTTCCATCCTTATTTTGTTGGTGAAATTAACACTAGAGCACAGAAACAGACAGACAGACCTTCACTTCAACTAAGTTATCTTTCAAGTAACATTTCAACTTAAGTGTGCACAAGGTTAAATATATAAATATAAATATATATATATTTAAAAAAAAAACACAAGTTCACATAAATGTTGGTTATGTCTATGAATAAAAACAGTTCAATAAGTAATTACAAAAATTTATTTTGCAGTAAAGTGATCTCAACATTATTTACCAAAAAAACACTTGGTCCACCTTTGCTGTTGAAGAGCACTTACTGCTAAGATGCAATCATACTGAATCGCAGGGCTTACCTAGACTATCCCATGGGTCAGACCGCAGAGGACCAGCCTGCGCTAAAGCACCTTGGCCTCCAGATGAATCCCAAGCACTGGCAGCAGAGGGCAGTTCAGGAGCCGAAGTGAAAATATCTGCAAGATCCAGCATGGCAGACTGCCAACGGGAAGGAGAGAAAAGCGGTTTCAGCACATTCAGAAAGATTTTTTTAGGTCAATAGCATCTATACAAAGCCTGAAATGAGGACAACTAACTGCAGTACAGAACCTCGAACAGTACCTTGAATTTATTGTGACAAAAAAAGCCCAGGTAATCCTAACATTTCAGCTCATCTGTGAGTGTAGCAAAATTGTACAACTTATTAATTGTATAATTTTAATGAAAGCACAAATTTTATTAATTGTATAATTTTAATGAAAAAAAAATGAAATTCTGTAAGTAATTATCCTCACACCTTACAATTCCCTGACAACTTCATTCATCTTTGGCTTATCTCAAGGTGTACAAAGTTCAGAAAAAAAGACTGTCAAAGTATTCCATGTGACTTCAGTTGTTCAACTGTAATCATACGAAGCTCTAAGAACTCTGTTCCAAAAAACTGTTAAAAATGTGAAACAGTATGAAACAGTAATGGCACTATGACTATGCCATTAGAGTCAGCAGTGCAACACAAAAGTACCATAAACACAAAGAGACAACCACTGAAGACACATGGACTGTTTTGACAATGATTTGGTTCCTTCTCTGAACATCTCTGGACCATTGCTATCTATGGAGGATGAATATTGAAAAAAAACGTACACTGCGACATTTAAATTTTATGCAATTTTCATAAGTTAGTTCATAAAATGAAGCTGTATATTATTCATTGTGTAAATAATTAAATATGATTAATCTTTGTTTAATCTGCAAACATAATAATCCGTTGTGCACAAATGCTTTAAACTCACTTAAAATGTTTACACACAGTGCTTAAAAATAGAATCAATTGATAAACTTTCCATTTATTATGATTAAACTGAAATGATTCCAAAACTGTCATGTTTTCTAAACTGTTGTACCTGGTCAACTATAATCTGACTTCACACTGCACATCCTGCAATGCGACTATTGTGTATTCACACATTGCGTAATGATGCTAAAAAGATATATTGTGCAGCCATAATGAGGGAGCTCTCAGATTGCACCTACAATTTCTTAATTTGTGTTCTGAAAATGAACAAAGATCACAGGTCATTGGAAAGATATGGGCATGAGTAATAAATAACAGAATTTTCACTTTTGGGTGAACCAACAATTTACCTTACCATACATTTTATGTCAATTTTTGCAGTAGGAATCTTATACATCATAGAAAGTGTAGATTTTACTTTGTTTCTCACACTGTAAAGCTCAAAAAGTTAACTCAAAACAATTTGAGGAAACCAATTTAAGGTTAAACCCTTTAAGATCAAAAACTTTAAGACCACAGTAGAACCCAATAGATGAAGAGAACTCAAACCAACGGAGTGCTGTTAAACCCAATAAGTTGAGGCAACTCAAAGCTTTTGAGGAAACCGATTGCTAAAAATCATTTCAGTTAAAAAAACTAATCTATATGAGTACTGTGAACTTACTCTATTTAAGTTGAAGAGGTATTTAACTCATTGCCTTCAACGCTTAGTTCAAAACTTTTCAAATGAGTAGAACTAACCTTCAGTAAATTTTGAGTCAACGACACTCATTTCATTTGATAAAGTTGACTGTTGGGTTTTACAGTGCATAAATACTTGCAGAACACTCATCTATGTCTCCACCTGGTTATAGCATGCATTGTCATTGATCCAATCACAACATGTTAGGTTTAGACATTTAGTCAAGTCATTTCCACTTGCAAGCAACATGCATTCAAATTAATCCCTTATTACCTTTTGTGTTCGGATTTCATCATAGTCCTTTTCTGTTATTTCTTAATGAACAAGCTAGTGTTATGTGGTTTACAAGTGAGCGGTAAATCAAGTGCATGAAAATTATGGCAACTATCATTTTAAACATAAACTGTTTGCTGTGGTACAGTGCAGCAAAGCATGACTACCTTGTTTGTTTAGTAGACATACATTTAAGTATGTTTTAAGTTAGTAGGCAACACATTTTTTTTTCTTTGTTTTTTTTTTTTGATGATTAAATATTTGACCACATTTACATTATATAAAGAATCTAATTTAATGTTATCGAATACCTCTGCAAGAAGTTAAAAGTGGAGAAGGTCAAAGCACATAAGACCCCGTTTAAACTAGTTTTTAGCATCGCCCACTTGTGATGGACTGATGAAAGCACTTCAATATTAAGTGTAAAGATTGAGCTTATGTATAGCAAGCAAGTTTAATGAGTGGTTTCATACTCCTCCTTTGGCCTCCATTTCTCGTTTGCTCTCCTCAAGTGCTTTCTGGAGCAGAGACTCATCCCCCCGACGGCTCCTCTCCTCCTTGTGAACAACAGAGAAGAGATCAATTCATGCTTAAGAGAGAAAGTCTACATAAAATAGTTACAAATGTTTTTTTTCAGAATATCATAAACTAGGCTGTTTGTGACAATTTAGTTTGGATATTAATCATTGATCCTGAATCATTTTTAACAGCTTTTTCACACATTAATTAAGCTCTTTGTGAAATTGCAAAATGTTGGTTTGTTGTTATTTATCAATTTATTAATTTCTTGAATAACACACTTAGCACAGCTGCAAAGCACTGACAAATTCAATACTGTATAAAAAAACTTTGATAATTACAATTTATCTTGTCTGTCATTCACTCTTTGTCTCGCCCTGTCACCTTTTGTTCTGCTATTTTCTCTCTCCCAGGTACCCGCTCATTGCGTTTCCTTGTGGATCAATAGGGCTTCCTTCTGCAGACTTTAAATTTAACAGGCACGCCTTGTTTTCGTCTATGCTGTGTGTGTGTGTTGGTTTGAGCTGTGTGCGCTCGCTTCTGATTAGGTATTATGTTTTGTTTCATTTAACTAAATAATTATACACAACTGTAAATTAATTTAATATGGTTAAAGAGTTTATCATTCCTTTTAGGGAGAAAAGGAATAGGTTACTAAGTCACGGGACATACATTTTGCCAGTAGGTATTGTTCAGAAACACTAGGTAAGTGGGTGAGCATCGCTTTTTGTATTTTTGTTTATTATTTCAGGGAGTGTATGTTATTGACGTTGCATACTCTAAAGATTTCGATTTCTTCTTCACATTTTGATTTTTATTAGTAAGTTTAGAGGGGATCTTGTGTTCGGTGGCTTTTGGTTTTGTTTAGTTTTTTGCTTTGACACCACTCCAGTTCCTTTTCCCCAAAAACTTTTGGTTTGATTTTATTTCTGTTAGCTTTTTTTATGCATTGTATAAAGCGCACACATGCCTCTCTTTTGTTGGCTTTATCACTCTTTTCCTCAAAGAGGAATAAATAAATTGATTGTTAAGATTGTGTCCTTGTTTATTACCATCCATTTACTGCAGTAATAATTTAATATTCTAAATGTTACGTTTACTCTCCCTAGACAACTTATTAAATAGTAACATAACTCATTTCTAATAAGTGATTTATTTTATCTTTGCCATGATGACAGTAAATAATATTTCACTAGATATTTTAAGACAATTTCTATTCAGCTTAAAGTGACATTTAAAGGCTTAACTAGGTTATTTAGATTAACTAGGCAGGATAGGGTAATTAGGCAAGTTATTGTATGATGATAGTTTTTTTTTCTGTAGACAATCAAAAAAATATACAGCTTAAAGGGGCTAATAATTTTGACCTTAATTTTTAATTATTATTTTTATTTATTTTTTTTATCAAGTACTGCTTTTAATCTAGCCGAAATAAAACAAATAAGACTTTCTCCAGAAGAAAAAAGATATTATCAGACATACTGTAATAATTTACTTGCTCTGTTAAACATCATTTGGGAAATATTTAAAAAGAAAAAACTATTTCAATTGGGGTTTAATAATTCTGATTCCAACCGTACATAAGATAATATATTGAGTAGAAAAAAAAAAAAAAAAATCAATGATTTTGTCAAAAATCTGAAACCTGCTACTTTGTTCCTTTATGTTTTAGTATAAAAAAGCAGCTCCTGATGTGTGACTCCCACCGCACCACAGCGTCTAATGATGAGATCAAATTAAACTAAAACAATAATACATAAAATTTCATCTGAATGTTATTAATTACCTATAAACTCACTTATAGCCTTTTAGTACTGCTGCCAGGCACGTGCACACATAGGGATCAACCTGTGCAGTGCACATGCCCTTTTTAGTCTTGGATAGAAAGTGCCCTTCCAAAATGATCAAAAGTGCCCCGCGACAACAACAACACCACCCACCTCCTGGTGTCAACTCTGTTTATTAAGTAGAAGCATTTAGCTTGCTAGAAATTAAGGCAGTATAAATGCACACAATGAATCTAGGGCCATTTGTGCAATGTGGAAAACAACAGAGATACAAAGAAAAAAAACGTAAAAGCACTGTTTTATCATATTAATTACATTCAAAAGTTCTATTCTAATGCTGCTCTCTCTGTGAAGTCAAATAAAGCACACAGCATATTAAAGTATTTTTTTCTGTTAGACCAAACCCGAGTGTGTGACATCATTAGCATGAACACAGAGGACACGGTCTGTATCACTAGTGAAAACTTTTGATTCCTCTTGATCTTAACATTCTTCAAAACATCTGGAATAATCCAAGTACACAAATCAGATAAATATATAGCACTGTGCTGGTGGTGTCTGGATGGTTAAAAAAGTAATGCATAGTGTGCCTTTAATGGATTATACAGCAGAATTTTTAGAATGCTTTTTAATAAAAAACGAATATAAAGAAATTCAACTTTCAGTCATAGCTAGACAAGTTGGTTGTTCCAAATCTGTGATGTTTTTAAAAATAATTCTAAATTATTTCTTTACAGTCACTTAGTCACTTCTGCTGTAATCTTTTATCATGCTACAATTCTTGCTGTAGTCTAAATTTGATCACCATATTTATTCATTTTCTTTTCAGCTTAGTCCCTTTTATTAATCAGGGGTCGCCACAGCGGAATGAACCGCCAACTTTTCCAGCCTATGTTTTACACAGAGGATGCCCTTTCAGCTGCAACCCATCTTTGGGAAACATCCATACACTCTCAGTCACACACATACACTACGGACAATTTAGCCTTCCCAATTCACCTGTACTGCACGTCTTTGGACTTATGGGGAAACCGGAGCACCCGGAGGAAACCCACGTGAATTCAGGGAGAACATGCAAACACCACACAGAAACGCCAACTGACCAAGCCGAGGCTCAAACCAGCGACCTTCTCGCTGTGAGGCGACAGCACTACCTACTGTGCAATCCATCACCATGTTTTTCAAAAAAAAAATTGTTGATATAGCTTGTTTACTTTACATTGGTGGTACAGCCACAACTGCGTTTCCTTTAAATACTGAAATAAGATTACAGTATTTATGGAAAAATCTGATGTTTTAATTATTTAAAAATAAATAATTTCTGTATGAATTACTCTTTTTAAAACCATGATAAATGTTACAATTGTAGAATATAATTTAACATAATTCAACAGCAAGAAAAGTTCTAGATTCTTTATAATTTGCACTGAATTATAAGGAAACCTAATACATTATGCAATATAATTTTCTGATGGCACTATTTAAACAGGCTCTATATGTCTCACTATCAACTGTCCCACCTGCTGATGTTCCTCTTTACTGAGAGTGAGGGCGAGCTGAAGCTGTGCCTCTTCATCCATCTCCATAACCGCAGCAGCAGGAGGAGGAGGGGGAGGAGGAAGAGGAGTAGGCTATGTATAAGAATAATAATAATACAGTGTCATTCACAAGAAGCAGGCCTCTTTTCCTGAATCTGCTGATGAATGAAGAGCAGGTGAAACAGAGACTGATGGGAGTGCTGTACCTTATGTGTCTCCTCCTTACTAAGACTCATAGCAATCTGAAGCTGCGTCTGTTCATCAATATCCACAGCTGGAGTCGGCTGGGGGAGAACAGATTCATGGGTCTGAGAATAACAAGTCAATGACAATCACTGATTAAATAAATGTTAAAACAGCTGTGCTGCTAGTTATTCATCTTAAGAAAAACACATCTAAAAATATTTAGTCTGTTATTTTTAAACACTAAATAATGATATGTCAAAAAGTCATGACAACAAAGGGTTTTTTATTTTAACATTTTAATAAGTCAATTAGCCTAGCTGTTGGCTAATTGACTTATTAAAATGTTAAAATAACAACAAAAAAAACTTTGTTATCATGACTTTTTGACATTATCATTATTTCTCTCTGCAACTCACACATGATACCTGGAGGACCTTGATGGTAGACCACATGGGAAAACTAGGTTGTTGTCGGAAGAGGTGTTAGTGAGGTCAGCAGGGGGTTGTTCAACCTGTGATCTTTTTGGTCCTAACGCCATAGTATATTGATGGGGACTGTATATTGCTCAGTGAGCATCGTCTCTCTGATGAGATGTTAAACCGAGGTCTGAAAAGAGTAGGGGTTTAACCCCGGTATCCTGGCAAAAAATTGCCCACTGGCCTCCATCATGGCCTCCTAACCATCTCCATATCATAATTGGCTTCATCAATCTCATGCTGAATAGCTGTCATCACATCTTCCAGGTGGAGGCTGCACACTGGTGGTGGATGAGGAAATTCCCACCCAAAAATATGTAAAGTGCTTTGAGCGTCCAGAAAAGTTCATTTGATCCAATAAAGAAAAATTGAAAATGCCAAGAATTCTTTTGTTAAGCATAAATATATGCTGTGGCCTCATTATCATTTTATTATTACTATCATTATTATTCATTTTCATATTTTTGGATTGGTGAAAATAGCATCAGACTCAACAAATCAACGTTTAAACATTATACAAAGATTTTTAACTAAATGATTATTGATAAAAATAAAGTTACAGTTTGAATGGGCATTAATAATTAATAATGAGTTAATAATTAATTAATAATTAATAATGAGTTCTTAGTTTTGAGTGAATTATTTTATTAGCATTTCAAAATCCCCTTTTCATGTGTTATGCAAGGTCATGAATAAGATTGTTTTCAAATAACTTTTTAAGTAATATATTTTTTTGCAAGCCCATCTGAAGATATTTCACTTCACTGACTTAACTGTTTCATTAACTCTCACGCGCAAATTATCGTCATGTAATTGCAAATAGAAGATCAAACATGGCCTCTTACAGACATTTAAAACTTGGAGGAATCGCTGATTATAGCAGTGTTGCATTATCCTGTTTTATCATTTTTTATATATTTTTGCCTGCTATGGAAGTCTAAGGGAGCCATCAAATAGCATTATTCAAATGATCTTCATTAGTGTTCAAGAGAAGAAATAAACTCAAAAGGTTTAAAACCACATGATGGTAAATAAATGGTGAGATCATTTTCATTTCAAACTATGTCTTTAAAGACCGTGTGAACCAAAAGTTAAAGACTTTTATTTCAGCCTGTTGATACTTGTAACTGAAACAGAATATTAAGTAGGGGGCAAGGCTTTCTTTTTGTGCATCATTCCCTCATAGCCATCTAATGGTTAAAGGGCTGTGGTTAAGAATATAGTGGCTGAAGGTGTCAAACTGACAGAGAAAAGTCTCCACTCCAAATGCGAAAGCAAATGGTCAAAAACTTTTTTCCAATGGATTAACTTGTTGGGATTAATGGTTCACCTGAAGAATAACAATGTGCACTAGCACAATGAACATTGTACATTATGATTTCAAATGGACATTAAGCTTTAAGGGTCTTGCACTGCTCAAAGCGTATGCTGTACAATAAAACAAGAGCATACTTGCGGATCAATGCTTCAGACTAGTAATACACCGTTAGTCACTGTAGCATCACGTTTAGACCTGCATTATCAGTGAATAAAGATGTTAATGTAGTCCCTTTACACTGTCAGATGATGACTGAGCTCTTTCTGGAAAATCACTCTCACCTTAAGTGCACTACAAACAATCATTAGCCCACATGCTAACTGGAAATTCAGTGCTGGTCTAAAGGCTTCAGGCAAATAATTCTCTAACAAAATTCTAATGAAAGACAAGTTACCTCATTGAAGCACATCGCAAAGGGCACATTAGATTGACTAGTTTCTCAAAACTTTATACAGTCAATTTAAGAAGGCCCTAAAGCGCATCTGTCTTATTAAAATGCAGTATACAGATGCTATGCTGCATTAAACAATCTAGTGTAAATACTCATTTTTAAAAATGTATGCCACTTCAGGTTTAGTTTCTGTGTCCCCTTTGCTGTGTAAAGATGCTCATAAAAAGTTAAATTCAGCAGACTCATTTACGATATGTGCCACAGCCTACATTTTTGTGAAATGTAAAACATGTTGCTCTGGGTACATTTTGTTGCAAGTTTTAGTTGACAAATCCACTATAGGTCACTGTCTACATTTTTGCAAATGTGAAATATGTTACTTAGCATTTTGTTTTCCATTTTAGATACATTATGTTTTTAAAAGCAGACATAAGAGAAAAAGGCACTGCAACCATACAGTTTTACCTGACTTTACATTGCTTTTATCTCTTGTGAAATCGTGCTTCACTAGACCTAAACCTAAGAGCTCTGCATCACAAGTGCAACACTTTACAAAGTGAGATGCAACGCAAACTTATGAGGTCCTGATATATTTCAAATTAAGTTCTTTTTTTGTTCTTCGTTTGATATGCTCAAAAAGATTAAGTGATGGTATACTGTTCTCAAACCTTCCGACACCCCTGCTGCAGTGTGCAGGGTTGAAAATGTGTCATGCGGACTTCTAAACACAACAATGGTGGCGCTGAGAGAAGAACAGTTTCATATAGGGCAAACAGCCTTCTCCATTGAGAAGTGCGATCATGGCATGACAGGCCAAATTGCTTTTTATTTGCCATGGACAGGCACTGAATGGAGCAATGTTTAAAACTTTATCAGACGTGGCATGATGCCGTTGTGCTAACAGTCTGTAATGTGTGACTACTACTCGACCATCCAGTTTAATCATGTTGCTAACTTGTTGTTGTGCTGTATGTTTTTTCTCCTGTGTGACTCTGAGTAGTAAGCTAATGTAATGCAAATGGCATAATGCAAATTTTGCTATCATGCTAACAAACAAACAAATGTGTGTATGTATGTATGTATGTATGTATGTATGTATGTATGTATGTGTGTGTGTGTGTGTGTGTGTGTGTGTGTGTGTGTGTGTGTGTGTGTGTGTGTGTGTGTGTGTGTGTGTGTGTGTGTGTGTGTGTGTGTGTGTGTGTGTATATATATATATATATATATATATATATATATATATATATATATATATATATATATATATATATTGATTTAGCAGCAGATCAAAAGTTTAGCAAAGTATAAAGATAACTCCAAAGCATACACAACCCCAGTTATTACCAAAAAAAAAAGTGTTATGTGTCATTGCCTTTTCATTGCATTTCTTTTTATTGTTAAAAAAAAAACTATTTAGAGTTGTCAGAATGTTATTCACAAAAAACCTATGTAGTTCTGTTTATAACTGAAAGGTTCTTTTGGATACTAAAATAGTTACCTATGACCTCCCTGCAAAAACGCACATTTGTAAGCATTATTTTTGAAAGTGTGTTGTGTGCATCTCTATAAAATGTGCGTCTGAAGCAAACCAGGCAGAAAAGCACTGATTGTGGTGGTGTTTGTGTGTGTGTGTGTGTGTGTGTGTTTGACTGTTCACCTTCTCGCTCTCCTCTCGGCTCATAGCCAAGGCCAGCTGTAGCTGAAGTTCCTCCTCTCCACTGGTCTGAGGACGGGCCCGCTCCAGATCTGGGGCCAGATGAGGGGAGGAAGACGAGGCTACGAGGAAGAAAAGAGAACACAGTTAATTCAATCTCTCGCTTTGGATTAGAAAGGACTGGCACCACCACTGAATGTTAAACAAGCACCCAAATCAGTATTTTTTCAATGCTTTCCTGTGCCTGTTTGACTCTGTGCAGGAAACAATGGGGTGTCTGTGTGGGGCAGAAGAACAGGGAACAGCTGATGGGGCTTACATTATAATAACCCCCCCATACAGGTTTGATCAAGCCGTTCCTCCATCTGTGGCATGTGCTGAAATCAAAGGACAAAGACTCTTCTCTGTTTCAGGAATGCTTCTTTCAAATGTGTGACTATTTTTAGATTTTCTCAACCAGAAAGCAATATTATAATAATTCTAAATGTGTATAAAGACAAAAGATTTTAAGTGTAAATAAACATTGCAGCATTTTATTTACTAATTTGTATTAACTTTCAAAAGTTGTCATGAACAAAATTGCCGATATTCTTATTGTGACTTCTTATATGTTAAACTACTTTTTTGGGCCTTGATTTTGTCCAAGAGCAACGGATATTTAGATTGTTGTTATTTGCTATTGGTGGACTGACAGTATGATTAGTGGATTGAGTGACAAAAGGTCCTTTGAAGTGCTCTGAAATGTGCATTTTTTTCCCGATGTTTGACTTAATCTCAAATAAAACATAAAGAGAGGTCAGGGTACATAGTAGCACCTCCTCTTTTAAAAAAACAGCCATTAGTTATATCACAGCTCAACATTTGAAGAGAAAGGTTAAGTATGTAACCGTGGTTCTGTGAAATCCAGATGACCACCTGAGACGTTGTTCATATAATGTTGCTCATAATCGCAGCGCCAGCTGGACAGGTTGAGAAATAATATACCAACAAAGATGGCACCAGCTGAGCTGAGGTATATAATTCACAACAGCTCTGCACCCTGCCTTGAAGCGCCTCGCATTCTGGTCATCCAAATTTCACTGAACCAAGTTTACATATGTATTCAACAATCTGTTTCATTCCTCCTGACCAACAGAGACAGTGTTTACATAGTGAATGATACAAACCAACAAGGTCATGAGAAAGAAAATCTTAGCAGAAAAAATACAGGGTCATTTGTGGAAACCAGCTGTGCCCATGTTTAGAGACTAGGTGATGCTGACATTGAAGAATCTTGCAACTGTGCAGGAAAAAGACCATGTTACTGCTGCACAGATTGTTGCAAGAGAAACGCCTTTAAAAGCAACCCAAGAATTGTAAATAGGTACAGGTTGCAGAGCCCTCTTATAGGCTCAATCAAAACAATGACCTCAACAATCCATCATGACAGTCTCTGTTTGCTTAGAGATGAACCTCTGCTAGCTTTTCCATAAAAGATGAACAACTGTTTTAATTGACTTATCAACTGTTCTGAATGAAGTATAATACAGAGAAGGTGGCAAAGGCACCCTGAAACTTGGAGGCTGCTGTGCCTGTGTTAGCTGCTAGAAAGTTGTAGACAGTTTCACATTTCCAACACCTCTGATACATCTGGGCCAAAAAAAAAGACCTGGAACAATAGTACGGTCCCTCAACATCTTTTTACAGTCCTCTGATTATCTGGGCTGAGCAAGCCATACTTGCTTTGGGCATTTAAGTGTGTTGCTGTAAGAGACCTCAGCTCTCGAGCCACATGCCCAATAGCAAGCAAGGCTGTCTGAAAAAACTGTGGAACAGAAGGGTCCGCCTCAGATTTAAAAAAGTTAGAGGCAGCCAAAATTAGTTAGCACTGTTCTTAGCTCTGTTAATGCAAGCAGCTGGATATCTGCAAAAAAAACACATTGGATTAAACAGGGTAAGCAGGATTGTCATCAAGGCCAACACGGGCTACTGCCATCTGAAGGACTTCCAATGTGTCATCTCCTTTGTATGGAGCAGTCTCAGAAGAATGAAGAGGGCCTACTTCAGAACTAACAGTCACAGCAGGTTTTACTGGTCAAACATTGGGCTCAGAAACATCAGTGTGAGATTGGTCCTGAAAATGTTTGTCAGAAGCACATTCAGACACACCGAGGTGTGGAAACATGAAGATGCAAAAGGTGGCTTCTTGGAAGATAAATGAGCAAGAACTTCCTCAGGACATAGGACATGCTGGCTCTGCTGTTTGGAGATTTTGTAAAAGATGTTTTATTTTGATCATATCTGAAGACAAAAAAGCTACTTTCTTAGACAACAGATGTACAGCAAAGTGCATTCTGCCTAGGCTGGGCATCTTAGGATGAGGAATGCCAGAGGCCACAGAAGTTTTTTGTTTTTTTTTTGCTTTCTGTAGCAACACTGGTAAGACAACAGCATCCTGAATGTGCCTCAGCCCTGCCAAACACAACTGTCTCTCTGATAAGGACAGTAGACTACAGTGGGGGCATGAATCAGTGTGCACTTCTTTTAAATGCTAAACAGAGGCATGACAAGCAGATATTGTGTGTGTCATCTGGAAGAAACTTATTAGGATAGAACATGCAGGTAATTGGGAAAGCTGTGGAAATTAAGTGATAAGCCATGAATAAATGTAATCAGATGACCTCTGGTTAGAACCACGAGGAATGTTTCCTGCCTCTGGGTGAACCGTGAGAGAAAACTGAAAAACTGATAAACGAAACAAAATGGCTAGTGATATGGAGCGCGAGAAAAAATAATGTGACAAAGACAAAGTTTGAACCACACAATGGAATGGGAGTATTGAGAAAAAAACAATTACTGAATAAAAATTATTTAATAACCATCTGGGACCACTTAGGGACCATTAGGATCACTGGACAGAACAGAAAAAACAGTTCAAATAACAGCAGTGAAGAAACACATAAAATTATTCTTAGAGAAAAAATGGCTAACCTCCGGATAGCACCGCGAGGTAATTACCACCCAAACACGAACCACAATTCAGTGTATAACCTCTGGATAACACTGGTAATTACAACTCAAATAGTAATGTAACTGTAGCATGAGGTCCAACACCTGATATAACTCAGATGCCTACAGTAGCACACTGTCTAGCCTCTGGATCACACAGCAAGGTAATAATAACAGCGGAGTTTAAGATAATAAAAAAAATAATTACCCACAACCCGCAATGTAAATTAATTTTATGAGTGAACGATCCTAGATAGTTAAATCACTTGGAAAGCACAATCCGAAATACAAAAATGTCGGAAAATCATTAGAGCTCAGGAGGACAAAAAAGTTCTGCTCCTAGGAAGCTGCACTAGACTATTCTAATAGTCCTAAAATAAAATCCAAAGAAAAAAAAAGAAAAAAAAAGGCAGGACGCTGAGCTGCTGCAGATAATATACTTCAGCTTAACTCATGCCACAGTGCATCTTTCTAGGTATATTGTTCCTCCACCTATCCAGCTGCCACTGCTATTATCCATTATGTAAACACCACCTCTGGTGTTCAGGAGGAATAAAAATAAAAAACTGCAAGCTTTGGGTGTTTATATCAGGTTTGTTATAGCTTCTAAAATTTGTCACTGTTTTAAAGCACACTAGCTTATAGATGTTCTTAAAACTAACATACCAAAACAAAGACTTTATTTTAATTACACATGACAGTTAAGCGACAGTTCACCCAAAAATGAAAATTCTGTCATTTTCATCATTTACTTTTAGTTTCAGCTTTCATCAGAATGTTTTTTTTGTGTTCAACAGAAGTAAGAACCTTATAAAAGTGGGGAGAGTATAGTGAGTAATATTAAATTTAATTGTTTTCAGGTAAACTATTCCTTTACAGAGTGATCTTGCCTTTAAACATCATCAGAGAAAAGCAGAGATGTACAGGGGTTGGACAAAAAAAATGAAACACTGGCCAATTTAGTGTTGGAGGTTTTATGGCTAAATTTGACCAGCCTGGTCTTCATTCATTGCACGTTCCACCAGTAAGAGCAGAATGTGAAGGTTTAATAAGCATTAATAGGTAGCAACCCGGGTTCTAGCCTAAAAACGGGTGGTAACTCCAAATATCAGCTTTTCAACTAATTGCAGGATTAAATGTGCACCTCAACTGTCTCGTTAAAACCTTTGGTTACAAGTGCCAATGACAAATGTTGATTTTAATGGTGCCGGCAGCAAAAATCTTGGGATGTGGACAATGTGAAACATGAATTGTGCTCGAATGAGTCCACCTTCACTGTCTTTCCCACATCTGGAAAAGATACAGTTTGGAAAAGCCCCTCATTTGATTGAAAATCAGAAAGTATATTGAAATATGTTAAAACTCACTGAAATGTACTATGTGCCATGTGATCACTCGATCTGTGTTTTGTAAACACATTTACAATGTTTACTGAGGTCATCATAAATTATTATTGAATGTAAAGCATAATTAATGTCATTTTTCTACCAAAATCGAAAATTCTATTATTTATCATAAAGGCACTAAGCCGAAAAGAAAACGAATGAATGTTATTTATCATATTTTACTGTATATTATTATGTTATTTTGTTGAAAAAATGTTAAAAAGCAGGAGTTGACTTCCATAGTATTTGTTTTCCTTCTATGGACATCAATGGTTACAGGTTTCAAACATTCCTTAATCTTCTTTTGTGTTCAACAGACAAAGGAAATAAACGGTTGGAAACACTTTAGGTGGGGGATTAAAGGGATATTTCAAGTATCCATTTAATTCTCCTGCAGCTCTGCACAGGAGGTTTGGTTAGAGGAGAAATAGTCATGCCCACCTGAACCTGGCTTCTCTTGAGTTTTTTTTTTTTTTTTTTACTTCCGTCAATAGGTGAAGTTTTGCTCCTGGTCACTGTCACCACTAGCTTGCTTGGTTTTGGAACTTGTGGAGCTGCGCATCGATGGATTTGCTCTTCAGTGCTAAACTACACTAAAATTAACTAAACTGAAATTCAACTCTGAAAACTAGACCAACTCAATTTTCATTTACTAGAAGATATGTTAAGTTGCTTTGATACAATCTACATAGTAAAAGCGCTCTAGAGATTAAATTATATTGTGCAATCAAGTGTTTTTATACAACTTT